CCACCGTAGAACAGTGACTCCCACCCCCACCTCCCGCAGTCGTCGCAGAAGGATACCATGGTTGATGGTATCGAAAGCCGCTGAGAAGTCAGGGAGTACCAGGATGGACGCATGACCTCCATCCCTGGCTCTCCAGAGATCATCGATCAATGCGACCAAAGCGGTTTCCGTGCTGTAGCCAGGCCTGAAACCCGACTGGAAGGGATCTAGATAATTGTGCTTGACCTTGCGGGGCTGGAGTGGGCATGGCCAAAGTAGGCATGGCCAGTTCAACATCACTCATGTCAGGGGCGCCTCTGGTGACTTGAGCACTCTGACAGCGAAAACATGCTCCTGAGCTCTGTTTTGTTTGCGACAAACTCCTGCAACCCTCTGCCAGCAAACATGAGCTCACAAGGACTGCCTGTGCCCCCCCACAACTCTGTTTTCAGCTGCAACAGCCTTCTGCAATGCTGTGCCAGAAAAATGGAGTTTGCAAAGGCTCCCTGTGGCCCTCAGGAGCTCCCTCGTCTCTGCCAGAGGCACTGCAAGGTAGTCTTTTGCTGTTTCCAGGGCAGCCCATGGACATCAAAAATCTAAACACCCCGTGTGCCGGATCTGGACCCTGGGCCTTGAGTTTGATATATAGGATCACAGTTTTGCATACATATATATAAATTTAATTTCATTCCCTTGTTATATTAAAGGCTTTGCATCCAGTCATAATTAAGAAATACATTTATAAATATAGCAGGAATGAGGATGATCTAGCAAACATATCATAGTCAAATGGAAGGCTTAGAAATTTGTCTATCTGTCTGTCTGTCTGTCTGTCTATCTATCTATCTATCTATCATATCAAATTGTTACATTAAATCAAACCAGATTTATTGATTTGGCTTAATATTTTCTTTCTTTCTTTCTTTCTTTATGGGGTTTGTATGCCGCCCACTCTCAAGAGACTCAGGGTGGCTTACAAATAAAAAGTTTATGGTTTAAAGTGTTTTGTTTTAGAAAAATGTGATTTCCTAAATAAACAGTATTTAAAGAATGGATTATCAATATGTGTGAACTCATCCCTTAAATTTGGAATGACTTAAAAAGCAAAGCAAAACAAAACCTCACAAGCCCCTTTAGCAAAAGTGTAAAAGTAAGTTTTAACTATTACTTTATCTCAGCGGTGAAATACAAAAGTTTTTACTACCGGTTCTGTAGTCGTGGCAGGGGAAGGGATATTGCAAAATCTCCATTCCTACGCAACTCCAGTGGAAGGATACTGCAAGATCTCCATTCCCATTCCTCTCTGGGGCCAGCCAGAGGTGGTATTTGCCAGTTCTCCGAGCTACTCAAAAATTCTGTTGTCGGTTCTCCAGAACCTGTCAGAACTCCTGAATTTCACCCCTGCTTTATCTTCTAAAATGTCTTTGTCATTCCTTCACAGTTTAGTTTGATGATATCTACCAAACTTCTTTCTACCAAAATGGCTTTCTCTAAAGAAAGCTTGAATTTTATAAACTCTTATCTTTACATCTTGTGACAAAACATTTTAGCTTTTATTTGATTATTAATATTTCTACTGAGCAATACAACAATTGCATGTTTTGTTTTTCCTGTGGTCCAAATTATTTTGAACAATTTTGTCCAGCAGCTATATATTTTATTTGTTCATTCTTTCTATTGGTTCAGCATTCATGGTCATTCTTTACAAATGGGAAAATTATAGATTTGACCACTTTATTTTCTGCATGATTCATCTATTTTTTAGAATTTTGTCTAGTACTATCTTAGTTCTTTTCCCAAGTAGCAGACATTTCTTTCTATTTCATGTGCATGATCATATTCTTTTGCATTTCAGAGCCTAGGAAGATAGTCTTCTTGACTTCATGCTAATTGTTACACATTCTTTACCTGTTCTAGAATTACATTTTCATAGCTTTCATTTAGGGAATCTTTAACAGATAAACCAATGAAAACATGACATTAAAGAGCATCTCAGACATTATTATGCTGTCATAATTCTACAAAAATGTATGCTTAGAAACATCTCTTCATATTTTAAAATTAACTATGTGTGAATGTAATTTGTATTACTTTATTATTATTAAAATACTTGATTGTTCTTTTTTAACATATTTAGACTAAATTGCTTTCTTAAGGCACTCTAAGTTAATTTAGGGGATCTAGCTAGAAATATAGAACCTGAAGGTTATGTTATGTTATATTCATCTGATTTTATTATTATAGTATTATATACACTACATATTATATATACTGATTTTTGACAGAATGAAAGGGAAGGGGAGAAATTTAAATCCACACAAACAAGGTTTGGAGGCTATAGGGTGCATGGATCTAACCCTGGTTTCATTAGTTTTATTCCAAACATATGAGAGTTCACTTTGAGGTAGAATTTACTTTGTGTTATTGATGAAATGAATGAAATATAAGTTTTTGGTACTACAATATCTGTAAATATATTTAAAATAATCTGTCCTCTTTGCTATGCAGTATTCTGTTAAGCTGCTTATTTCACTATTGGCAATTCTTAGAACTATACCATATTTAACACTGCTGAATTAGAGGACTGAGTCTAAGTGAACACCGCCATATGAATCAAAGCACCACCTTGTGGACAAAGTTTTTTCCAACTCCATCACCTGAAATCCAATTTCACAGAAAATGCCTTGCAAATTGATTGAGTAAACCTCCGACAGTTTGCATACAGATTTTATGCCATACTTCTGAGACGCAATCTCTTCACATGAATTTTATTTCAATTTCTCAAATGTTGGAAAATCACTTTCAGTTACTAGTTACTGATTACCACATATACATTTGCTGCTTCTTTGGAGGCAGAAATTCACATACTTTAGACATGTAATTGAAAGAGAGCTGAATGAGAGCTGTGAACTATAAACAGCTTTTGGGGTGTCCTGGTACAATAGATATATTGTGAATTTAATAGAGATACTAAGGTGGCAAGTTCAGCTATTTTTGATGATGACTCAACTGAGCAAGAGAGGGTGGTCCATGAGGAAGAAATAGTTCTGGATAAGGAAAGGCGTGAATTGGGTATTGCAAATCAGCCATGTGAGGTGAGCGAGTATTTAAAAAGAGAAGCCACTTTTTGGTTGGCGACTCAATTGTAAGATATGTCAATTTAGGAAAGGATGTGGAGGTTTTGAAAGAGGTGAGATGAGTGCCTTGTGGTACTGCCAGCAGAAAAAAAGAGGTGCATTGTTAAGATAATCAAGAATGCTAGTAAGGAGTTTAATGTTGATATTGTTGTGCATCTTGGCAATGAGCTGTCAAAAAAAGGTATAGTTTCTGTGCAGAAGGATTTTCAGAGCTTGGGACAGGAACTACACTATTAGTACACTATAATACTAACTACAGTATTAGACAGTAGTCTTACTTTTTAAGAGGTTTTACCTGTATGTAGGGTTAAAAAAGGAAAAAGCCAGTGTATATTGGAGTTCAGTGAGTGGATAAAGGAGTGATGCAAACCGAAAGGTTTTGGTTATATTAGTCATGATGTTTGATGAAAAAATGTATAAAAGAGATGATTTGCATCCATCAAAGAAAGAGGCTGAACTATTTAGTATTAAATCCAAGGGTTCTCTGGAGAAGATTTACATTGAATAATGGGGACAGAGACTTTGATACAGAACATTTTAATTTAAAACAATTTAAAGCTATTAGAGTTGTCAGTGTTTCTAACATAGATGTTTGTGTGCTTAAGAATATTAAGGTTAAGGTAGATAAAGCTTTTGATAATGTGTGTGCCATACCATGTGCATTAATCAAACAGATGGTAAGAAAGGCAACTCAGACATAAAACAAGTTATGTGAAAATAAACATATGATCAGTCAAAAAGGTCTCAAATGCCTATATACTAATGCACAAAGTATAGGGGACAAACAGGATGAACTAGAATCTAAATACATGAGGGGAGGTGTTATTGTTGCCATTACCAAAACTTTGTGGGATAAAATCCATATATGGAATATACAACTAGAGGAATTTTTTTTAAAAAAAACAGACCTAATAAAAGAGGTGTTGTGCTCTATATAAGAAATAACTATATCTCTATAGCAATACAGCAGAACAATTCTGAAAACTGTCTTGAATGCATTTGGGTCAATATAAAAGAAAAAAAATAATGATATTGCCATAGGTTATACTACAGGACACACAACCAACAGAAGAAATGGATGAACTTCTTGTTTATCAGTTAACTAAAGTATATAGGAAGACCACCACAATAGTAATGGGGGACTTTACCTACCCTGACATCTATTTGGAGACAAACTCTGCCTCAAGGTACATCAAGCAGATTCCCAAGAAACCTAGCTGATTTTGTCTCCTAAAAGATAGAGAAGAAAAGAGTCGGCCATATTATACTTAATTCTCATTAACAAAGATAAAATTATAGAAGGGGTCAAAATCATAGGGACTTTGTTGATGGATGACCATGCAATTCAACATTATGCAAGCACAAGGAGTAAAAAAAATAAAATAGAGTCTTGGACTTTAAGAGAGCTGATTTTAATAAACTCAGAGAGTGCATAAGAAATATTGATGAAAATCTTCAAGGAGGAAACAACCCAAGAAGTTTGGAAAACTTTGAAAAGTGAGATTATAAAGGCTCAGTGTAGCATGATACCAATGAAGACAAAAAAAGCGATCTCTAAAGAAGCCTGCACATAGAATTCTCTGATGAAGTAAAAGACAAAAGGGGTGTATAAAAAGTGAACAGAGGGCCATATAACTAAGCAGACTATCAGCAAATAGCCTGCAGATGAAGTCAGGAAAGCTAAGGCTCAAAATGAACTAAAGCTTGCAACAAATATCAAAACAAAAAATAACTTCTCTCAATATGAAAAAAATGAAAAAAGTCAAGGAAATGATTAGTCCATTAATGGGAGAAAATGGCAAGAAGATGCGAGCAACAGGGAGAAAGTACCGTATTTTTCGGGGTATAAGATGCACCTTTTCCCCTCAAAAAAGAGGCTGAAAATCTGGGTGCATCTTATACATTGAGTACAGCATTTTTTGCCTTCCAAAACCCCACCCCCTTCACCAAAGTAGCCATGCATAGTTTTTAGGAGGCTTTCAGAAAGCTCCTGGGAGCTGGGGAAGGCAGAAATGAGCAAAAAACAGTCCATTTATTGCTCAATTTTGCCCCTGCAGCCCCCAGGAGCACTCTATATGCCTCCTAAAGGTTATCCATGCCCTTTTTGATGAAAAAGGGGCCCATTTTTGACTCTACAAGCCTTCTAAAGGCTATTCAAGCCCCCTTTTTTTGAAAAAAAAGCCAGACCCATTTTAGCAAAAAAATGGGCCCTTTTGGGGAGCTTTTCAGAGTGCAAAACCTTTTTTTAAAAAATTTGCCTCTTCAAAACCTTGGTGCATCTTATACTTTGGTGCGTCTTATACTACGAAAAATACGGTACAACTTGTTAACTCATTTTTTACATCTGTCTTTAACAAAAGGTTAAAAAAAAGAAAATGGTAAAACAACATCTACATACTCTAGACGAATTCTAATTACCAGGACCAGATGGATTACAGCCCAAGGTTCTGAATGAACTGCAGACATGATCTCAGAACCACTGAAGTGTATCTTTCAAAAATCCTGGAGCACCAGGAAACTACCAGATGACTGGAAAAGGGCTGAGGTGGTTTCCATCTTCAAAAAAGAAAAAAAATGGATCCAGGGACCTGTTTGATCTTCCCCTTCATGAAGTTTGTTTCCCAGTTGATGTCAGGGTAAAATCTCCTATTACTATTATGTGTTTCCTATACACATTAGTAATTGATTAGCAAAAAGTTCATCTATTTTTTCTGCTTGATTGAGTGGCCTAGAGTATACACTTATTGCAATGTCATTCTTTTTTCATTTTATATACATTATATGAATTCATGTAGGCTTTTATCCTTGGTTTTATGCATTTCTGTTGAGTTGCACTGATTTCTTACATATAATGCAACTCCATCTCCTCCTTTGTTAGGTCTGCTTCTTTTGAACAGTTAATATTCTTCTAGCAGTTTCATTTCAATTTCAAAATTCAATTTCAAGAATTTCAAAAATTCTTGACAGAATTATCTTTATTATTTTCTTTATTAAGATAATCTCAGTCAATATTTACTTCTAATCTTGGTAATCTAATCTTGCTTACTTTCCTCCACCAGATATGAAGGGAGAAATGGCTCAAAGAATCTTCAGAGACGGTAAGTATACAATAAATATGTCATTTTACTTATGCCAGATAGAAGTCTCCTTTTAAAACAGGTTTCAAACTAGTGATATTAATTTAGTGTTAATGGCCATTCTATATAAATATAAACTTTAGATAGATAGATACATTAACAAAGTTGGTGTCAATCCTGCTAATTTGGGTCTCTGGGAAAGAAGGCCCTTGATTCCATTTGATTGAAGTGTTAAGTTCTTTTACTAAAGATAAGTGGTTGCAGCAAAAGTAAAGCTAGATATGAATATTCCTACACAAAAATTATACTTTCCCCCTTTTCCTGGGCCCCTCCCTTGACTAGTCCATCAGTATCCAATATGATGACTTCTGGATGTTTTGGGGATGGCTTGGATGTTTGGTGTCTCTTACTGCAACTTTGTATTTAGTTCCCAGGCCAGATGTCCTTGGAGACTGGTTCATTCTGGTTTGGCACCTCTAGATCTCATCAACATGTCACTCCTCTTGGTGTTTGTCTTCTCATTCTGAGGCCCACAAGTTACTACTTCAAATTCCTTACCAAAATTGCAAAGCAAATTGAATGCCATGATCTGAAATGATGCATTCTGGGGCACTATGTAATCTATATATATGTTGGACAAATAGCCTAGCTGAGGTGCGTGCTGAGGGGATTTTAGGGCATGGCACAAAATGCACTTGTTTAGATAAGAGATCAGTTATCACCCAAATTACTGTGTTTTCTGAGCTTTCTGGTAACTCTACTATAAAGTCCATAGATATATCCTTCCAGGGCATTTGGAGCTTTCTACAGATTGAAGGAAGCTGGTTTCTTTCTCCAGATGCTCCTTAATCTATGCACAAACAGGGTAGCTGGCCATGTAGGTTTTAATGTCCTTTTTCAGGAATGGCCACTAGAATTAACATTTCACTAGGCTTTTATAAAATTGTACGATTACCGAACTGCTTGTTAAACCGGGAGGATCCCACCACTGCCATCAGGTATATCTCTCTGGGGGATGAGACCCACAACATTTCTTGCCTCTCCGCTCTAGTGGGTCAGGTAAACATGACCAACAAGTGATGGTCCCTCAGATAATCTGGTCCCAAGCCATAAAGGGCTTTAGCAATAGCAATTAGACTTATATACCGCTTCATAGGGCTTTCAGCCCTCTCTAAGCGGTTTACAGAGTCAGCATATTGCCCCCAACAACAATCCGGGTCCTCAATTTACCCACCTCGGAAGGATGGAAGGCTGAGTCAACCCTGAGCCGGTGAAATTTGAACAGCCGAACTGCAGAACTGCAGGCAGCTGAAGTAGCCTGCAGTGCTGCATTTAACCACTGTGCCACCTCGGCTTTAAAGGTGACAACTAGCAACTTGCATCCAGAAGCAAATCAGCAACCAATGCAGCTCCCGCAGGAAAGGTGATACATATGCACACCGAGGACTGCACAAAACCATGTAGGCCGCTGCATGGAATTATTTATGATTCTCAGTCTTTCTTCTTTTCCTTAATAAATACTGCCATCAGTTCAGGATGCTATGCCTTAAACATTGCCACCAAGCAATAAAATAGATTTCCCCCCCTCTTGATTTCCCCCTCTGAACGGGATAAGAAGTATGCTAATTCATCTTGGTTTCAATCAGTAGAGTGGCTCCACAATTGCCTTGAAATTATATTTGCATATAATATGTAACATATGTATTATATTTGTTCTTGTAGGTTCCAAGACAAAGAAAAGGCAAATCTTAATTTAAAATTGATGGTTCACAATAGCTGAAATCAGCAGTAATAAACAACATTTCTCAAAATTCCCCCATTTTGGCTAACCCAACATAAAGTTAAATTGTATATTCTTGTTGCACTGTTTAGCTAGGTCTAGCCCCTTTAATCCAGCAAGGAAAAATATAATTGAGGAAGCTAGTAAGTTTTAGTTTTATATGTTGTGTAGCAAAAATTGGAGTTGGTGTTGGCTTATATTTTTGCCAGCAGCACAAAAGTATTTTTGGCATTAATAGAAAAATATTATGGCTTCCGATGGGTGGGGCCTGACAGGGGAGTTGTTGTTTCTAACAGCTCTTGAATCTTGGCGGCGTTAAACTGTCTAAACAGCAATCCATCAAACTGTTTAGCAGTTTGTTTATCTCTCCTTCGGGCTTAGAAGGGGGAGGCGAGAAGCTATGCTTGGGAAGCCCTCTAACTAATCCTCTTAGCCTAAAAATCTCAGAGGAGGGCGGGGGCACCCGGCAGCACGGCACCTCCACGCCAAGATTTATTCTGCCTTTTGCTGCAGAACAAAAGTCTTCACTCATCCTCACCACAAAGAATGATTTACTGCGGATTTCAAGTTGAGCTGAACCAATACCTGTGAACTCCTAATTGTATGTATAAATCCTTAGCTCCATTTGTAAAGAATTCCTTCTGATAATTACTTGCTGAAAGATCTACAAAATGGCGCCAAGCTGTGTAGGAGCTGTGTAGGAGCTGTGTAGGAGGGGCAAGACTCTGATAGCATTCTTGCGAAGCCTAGAAGTGATTTATTATCAAACTAAATAGCAACTGCTGTATAATTGGACTGCCTGGACTTTTTTAATTGAGTAAAGAAGATTAAACCTGAGATGGCTTCTAAGCAAAAAATTTTCCCCCCTCCCCCACATCGAAAAGTGCCGGGAGCTCACCAGCGCCCTCTACTAAATTACAGTCATTACTTCCTTCTACTTCTGCAGGGGAGCCCTTGACAAGAGAAATCTTGCAGAAAGAATTAATTGATGCTTTAAAAAATCATGCTGATACGATGGAAGTAAAAATCAAGGAAGAGATATCTGCTGCTAACAAACAGATGTCCGAAGAGCTTATGACATGTAATCAAGCGATTAGATGGGATTTCCTGATGGCTTTGAACTCCCTATCAGGCTACACACTCGGACTTGAAGAAAAGCTAGAAGATCTTAATGACTCTAATATGAACTTGGTAATGAAGATGGATGTGGTCCAGCAAAAGGTCAGCAATGCAGAAAATGAAATCATAATGT